GTTCCCCCCCAAAAATAAGCCCTGATATTTTTCATATTCACAGGGAACTCTTTGAAGAAATTTGCAGAAGTTTGTAAAACTAAAGTTTCTGAAGATGATGAATTTCATCCCAGGAAAGAAGATTATGAACCTGGCTAGTACTTATATAGACTTATATATGTTAGCAATTTGAAGGTTATGATTAGCTTAATTGATTAGACTTATAACCACCTTCATTCAAGGGCTCAAGTCAAAATCTGAGGCATCAGAATTTGTAAACAAGCCACCTAGAAATTAATTATCCCAAATGAAACAAGCAAGCACTTGGAGCAAATGTAGTCCATTAATTGCTATGCTAAAGTAGATTGTGCAAATTTATTTATACATCTAGGTTTTCCATTTCCTTCATCTGCAACATTAAAAGGTAATATTCCTTCAGTATAATTGTGTCATGCCCCTGTCAGAATCTGATTCATAGGGGGAGGCTGAGCACCTGACAGGGAGTGGGAGTGTGGCTCTGTTGGCTGTGGAAGAAACTGGGGAAGGACAAAGGCTGGCTGGGCAAAGCAGGGGAGAGATAGAGCAAGGGAGAGGGAATTCAGAGGAAGACCCAGGCCCATCCCCTCTTCATCCTAGGAACGGAGAAGGGAGGAATGAAGAAGGGAGCAACGTGAGTTGTGTGGCTTACAGGGGAAGAAAGGGCCCTGATTCCCTTCATTAGCTGCAGCTGGGAACACAGTGTTTAAAAAGGGAAGCTGTGCACAGCAAAGTTGTTGGGAGCAAATTGTGAATTGTCTGGTATTGTCAAGGCTTATCTGGGTTCCTGGCATCTTCCCAACTGTGTGTGTTTTGCTGGCCTTTCAAGTCTGGAATTCTTTCTCCTGTCCTGTCAAGTTAATTATAGCAGCAGGGTTTGTGTGGATTTTTATTTACAGTTTGTATGTTTTCAGACTGAATTTCCTCCACTTAAAGACTGTTCTTGTGAGAGTTTTTTCTCCAGCCGAAGGTGACCTAGACATCGGGGGCAAAGTTGGAGATATTAAAGGGACATTTCTTGCTTATTTAACTGTGTTGCCTTTGTGCCCTGGGTCATCACAAAATTGAAAGAAAAGAGCAGAAATTATTAACTTTCTAATGAGCACATGGAGGCAATCAGATTACCCCTTTTTTTGAGATTTTAGGATCTCTTCCCCCCTCCCTGCATAGCCTGCATTTCAAAATATGGGATATATGGTGTGCATTTAAACTTTAGTCATGTACCTTAAGAGACCGAGAACAGTGTTAGGGCCATCTTGTAATAAGTCATATCCGGGGGTGGGCTTCAAATATTTTAGCAAAGGTTTCTCTGCCCGGTTGCTGGGTGGGCGTGGCCATGGTGGGCGTGGCCTAATCCGCCTCCTGCACCATGGTGGGGGGAGATTTTTGCCCTCCCCGGCCCCTGGAGGCTTTCCTCGAGCCTCCAGGAGGGCAAAAACGGCCTCCCAGGCTCTGGAAGCTCTCCGGAAGCCAGAAATGGACCCATTTCTGGTCTTCCCAAGCTTCTGGGAGGCCTATTTTTCACCCTCCCTGAACCTCTGTGCACACCCTGCACTTTCCTGCATCCGAAACGAGCTGCATGGGGACTCCTGGGAGGGATGGGGCCAGGTGGGCAGGGCCAGCCAGGAGTGGATTTGCGGGGTTCTCTAAACAGCACAGAATCTTAGCTAGGGACTCTCCTGAACCCCTGCAAACTCCCAGCAGCCCTCCCCTGGTCATATCCTGGGTACCAAAAGGGTTAGATCAGTGGTGGGCTGCAAATTGTTAACAACTGGTTCTCTGGCTGGGTAGGCATGGCCTGTTGGTCATGTGATTGGGTGGGTGACGTCACTCATCACACTCAGCCCCACCTCCCGGCCACTCCCCTCAAAAGAAGAGGTAAGATTCAGCCGGTTGGGGCTAATCCCACCACTGGCTGGCCCTGCCCCGCCCATTTTTCGGCCTGTTTTTTGGCCTGTTTGGGGGCCATTTTTAGGACGTTTTGGCCCAAAAATGGTCAGAAATGGCCTGAAAAGGGGGCCTGAAAATGGCCCCCAAACCAGGCAATTTTGGGGCTGTTTTCATGCTGTTTTCAGGCCTTTTCAGCCCCCCCAAATGGCCTGAAAAACAGCCTGAAAATGACCCCAAAGCAAGGCAAAAAATGAGTGAGGGTGGGGCCAGTCAGTGGTGGGATTTGCCTGTTCGCTGAACTGCGCCTAATCTTAACTACCGATAAAAGATAAGAATGGCTGTGTGTGTGTGTGTGT